TCTGAATCAAAGTAACTGGAATGGACTGGAATCTTTTTTTATAATTTCTTGCATCTCAAGCAAACTTGTCCATATATTAGAATAACTTTTTATTTATTTATTTTTATTTATAGTTTGAAGGAAACGAAGTTGAAGACACACCATGCCGTCCAGAACGGAGTCCTGATCGTCGGTAACAATCAGCACGATATTCTTGCATGCGACTAACGCCAAGTAATTCAGTAATAAAAGGAGAGACATCAGGCGCATCTTGGTCGACATCGCGAGATCAGCCCAGTGAAATACAGAAAATAGTGGAGTCAAAAAATCGGCGTACGTTCTAATTAATTCCCAATCGCCGGTCGCGACAAAATTAGAGAATCGCCGTCGTATCTAATTGGCGTCTCGCCAAGTATTCGCGAGGCATAAGCCGGAAGTCGGCTCTCACATAAATCCCTCGCACAGCACACGCGAATAAAAGCAACAACGCAGTCGAAGCTAATCGAGAACTCTGAAGGCTGCAATTACGCGCGGTTATCATGCAACGTGCCGCGAGCCCGCGCAGTAAAAACACGCGACGACGTCGCTCGTCGATCGTTCTGGTGTACGTCGCTAGATGGCAGCTGGGCTGCGCGAAACACCGGCGGCGGCCGGCGAGGCCTCGCGGCCGACAGAGGGCGTCGCGGGGGAGGAAAGTCGGAGCTTCTTCGGCGCTCGCTTCGCGCCTTCGGGCACGCCATACGGCACGGCGAACAATTAACAAACGAGAGCGCGGAGCGCGGCGTGCGGCGTATTGTATACGCACACGCCAAAGAACGCACGCACGCACGTTCCCTCACCGGCGAGCTTGTCGAGCCCTTTCCCACGTGCACGCCGTACGTATATTCGATCTATTCGATGCGCCGCTGCGCGACCAGCCGCGAGATTATTATCGGAGGCGAGCTCCCCGCACTATCCACGCTCTCCACCTACCCCCCGGCGTCCCGGAGAATAGCCGAGAGACACGCAGTAAGTTTTGTCAGGCTCGAATAAGATCGCATAACCGTCCGGCCCGGTCGTTTCTCCCCGCTCTCTCTCTTTCTCGCCGTCCTTTCCCCGTTCATGCCGTTCATCTTATCTCTCGCGCGACGCATATAGCCTCGCTCTCGGCGACCGGACGGGTGGCAGGTAGCGCGCGACGACGACGACGACAGGTGTAGAACCTAGAACCGCGCGGGCGCGTTGTATATTCGCGCGGAAGTGCAGCTCGGGCCGCGCGCCGCCGGCCCTGACGCGGAAACGGCCGCTGAGGTCGCGCCGATCGCGGCCGGCCGGCCAATCGGCGCGCGCGCCGCGCCAGCGCCGCCGCCGTTCCGTCCTATCGAGTACGCTCGTGGCACGCCCTACGACTTCCTCCATTGTCCTTCTTTCCGAGATTCTCTCCGCGAGGAAGGATGGCTCAGAACAATTATTTCGGATTTACCCACGGCGGGACGCAATATGGGTACGAAATCGTCTGCATTATCATTATCGCTAAGTATCTAGTGTTAAGCCGCGCGAGGATTCGCGGCCGCGGACGCGCGCGTCCGCGGCGGCGATGAGAAACCGGTCGCGTTCCCGACGACGGCACGCCGCCTGAGAGACCCAGCCGGCTCGGCGGCCATTATCACTCGCCGCCGAGAGATTAGCGTCTCCATCGAGCGTCTTTTCCCCCGGAGAAAAATTCACTCCCGATTAAATTCCCCGACGGCGTATTGCCGTCCGCGTCGCCGTCGCGCGTCGCAACTCCTCGCGCGGACGCTCGACGGACTCCGCCACATGTCGACCGTGATAATTTTATCTGAACCTTGTTTCACGAACAGGGCGACCAGCGCCGCGGCGTATCAGACCGGGCAGGCGGGTTACGCGGTTACCCCGGCTGCGACCGCTGCCACGTACACACAGCGACCGGCTGCCGCTGCTGCGACTGGCTACGAGACTTATCAAGCCGCTGCGGCCGCAGCCGCGACCGGGACAACGTACGCAGGTGAGTTCGAGTCTCACACAGGTCTCAGGTCATGCTCGGCGATCAGTCTTCGGGAGAGGGATTTAATAAATTTGAAAGTATACACCAATTGTATTGACATACTTTATGTAAATGTTTATCCATTCTCTCTGTCAAACGTGAATGTTTTTTTTTCAATGTTTTAGATAAATATCGATGAATATGGGCCGGTATCACAGTCCCCCGATTAACGTGATCCTCCGATTAAACTCACTCTGCATCTCTTTCTAACTGTCCCTCTAGAAAGAGACGAAGAGTGATTTTAATCGAAAAATCACGTTAATCGGAGACTGTGATACCGGCCTTATCTATGGAAAATGAAAATGCTGATTCAGGTGTAGCGAGTGGAGTTGTGCTCGCACCAAGCTTTTCCTTCCACAAGTTTCAATGTATTTTCAGCAATTGACTGTCTTTCAGAAAGACAAAAAAGCTTGGTGCACTAAATTAAAGATAATTCTATTCCCTATACCTGAATTAAACAGCACTTTTCCACTGCGTGTCATCAATACTTAAAATAATTATTTCCAAGTGCGATAACGTCAGCTGCGTCATTACAGTATACTGTTTTTGTTGCAGCTGCTAATCCCGGTACTGTAGCTCAGACTTACGATTACGGCTACGGACGAGCTGCTCCAGCGGCTACTTACGACGCGACCAAGACGTACTATCAACAACCAGCGGCTGCTGCAGCAACTTACACCACTACTGAAACACACTACCAGGCTGCAAAACCTGCTTATAGCACAACTAGTGCTTATACTGGCACTGCCAGACAAGCCACTACCACTGGGCAAGCTAAGACGTATCAAGCATCTAGTACAGCTTATCAACAATCAAATCCCACGCAGAGCGCTACTTATACGTCGGGATACACAGCTCCAGCAACGCCTGCCGCTACTCCGTCAACCGCGACAAATAGTAAGTGTACTGATCTTTTTTATGCATTTATCTCTAAATATTTTCGGTCCTCTCTCGACCACTAACTGTGACGTAGAAACTAATAACATGAAATTGATCCTCTCACGACACGTATGAACGAAGAGACAAAAATTTGCAAAAGCTCTGCTAGCATTCTCGATCGTAATAACAGTTCGAGGATTTAGCAGAAGTCAGAAATTTCTTTTTGTCCGCTCCCAAGTGTGGAGCAACACTTTCGAGTACATCCAGTTTCCCGATGTTTCGTCATGGAGTCTTCGTAGTTGGTCTTTCGATGCATCTCGAAATGAGTAATAGTAAAAGTTTTGTGCCGCGCTAAAGTACGAATGGTTTAGGCCCCTCCAAAGTTTGAGGTTTCAATTTCATTTCCCTTAGAAACGGCGAGTACAACGTATTCCGGCTACGACGCAGCGCTATATAGCGCTGCGACTATGTATGTAGCCCAACAGAGTGCAAACAGCAATTCCACTAACCAGAAGACTGGAGGTTGGCAGGGCTACGGACGGAAGGGATTCGGAGCTGGCGGGGGAGGGATGAAGGCAATGCGGCCGAAGCAGCCACCTAAGCCTCAGCAACTACACTATTGCGATGTCTGTAAGATCAGCTGCGCCGGGCCACAGACTTATCGTGAGCATCTGGAGGGTCAGAAGCACAAGAAGAAGGAGGCCTCTCTGAAGGTGCCGCAACAGCCGCCAGCGCGTGGAGCAGGCAACAGTCTTCGCTGTGAGCTTTGTGATGTAACCTGTACCGGAAACGATGCTTACGCCGCTCACATCAGGGGTGCTAAGCATCAGAAAGTCGTCAAACTGCATACTAAACTTGGAAAACCTATACCAAGTGCGGATCCAACTGTTCTGAATCCAAAGCCAGCAGCAGCTGCGAAAGCTGCTGCTACCAAGAAGCCGACGGTGACAGCAACGCCTAAAATCAACTTTGTCGCCTGTAAGTAAATTTTTTTTATGTTACAAAATATCAGAATCTAGCGGTATTTTATGAACATTTATAAGATTTATAAATAATTTATATTCACGCGTTTGCATTTTTACAAATGTTTCAGCTGGAAACTTGGGCACGGTGAACCAAAATCAAACTGTAGAAGTTAAGCAGGAAGAGCCAGCTGTTGAAGAAACTGTGGAAGAGGCTACGGTCGATGAGAAGGATATTCAGCCGGTTGGCCAGGAATACATCGAGGAGAATAAATCCGAGGACGGGAAGATTATAAGTTTCAATTGTAAGCTATGCGAGTGTCGGTTCAACGATCCCAATGCCAAAGACATGCATATGAAGGGCCGCCGTCACAGATTTGCCTATAAGAAGAAAGTCAATCCTGATTTGGTCGTTGACATGAAACCGAGTCTTAAGCAGCGCAAAATGTTGGAGGAAAAACTACGTAGGCAACAAATGCGTGACGAGTATCTACGCCGCAGGGAGGAGATCAATCAGTTGGGTCCTATGGGACCCATGATGGACGAGGAGATGATGTATTGGGAAGAGAGGCGCCGCTACGAGGAGGAATGTGAATATTATGAATGGTACCGACGTTACGGACGTGGCCCGGGCGCCCCACCGATTCCGCGTCCGTTCCAAGGACCACCACCTATAATCATGTACCCAGGGCCACAAAGACGACCGGATTCGTCAGACGACAAACATGTATTGGCGCATCATACAACTATTTATCCTAAGGAACAAGAACTATTGGCAGTCCAGAAAATAGTTTCTCATACCGAGAAGGCATTGAAGTTTGTGTCGGATGCTTTAGCTGAAGCTGGTGAGTACTTTTATTTCATTCATTTTTCGCAAACTTTCATTATATAGATTAACACAGGTGCATTGTTTGCAGGTAAAAAGAACACTCCTATCAATGCCAATGCTACTGCAGCAGCAATACCAGCCGGTACTCCGCAGATGAACGCCGAAGTTGCAGTGAAGAAAGAAGAGGCTGACAAGAAGAAAGCAGCAGCCACACCACAAAAAGAAGATGGAAGCGACGGGAATCTATTCTCATTTCAAAAGGAGAAAGAAGATTCTAGGATACTTCGTGGAGTTATGCGCGTCGGAAACTTGGCTAAAGGACTCTTGTTATCCGGAGACAATCACGTTTGTCTTGTGGTCTTGTGCGCGGAGAAACCTACCAGGTATTTTTCAGATGATTTCCTTGATGGGTAAACAGAAATCGTATATATACTTTATTATCATAACTTACAAGAGACTGTTCATTTTTATAGGACATTGCTCAATAAGGTTGCGGAGATTTTACCCGGTGAATTAAAGAATGTAGCCCCTGAAGAAAGCTACAACGTCGGGAAGCATCCGGAATCCGCGGCTTTGACTGTCTCAGGTGGCACGGTCACCGTCAGCGTGACACTCACCAGCCCCTTGATGCGCGAGACACCCAAGTCAACTGCTGCAGCAGGTGATTTCATTGTTTCGCATTTTTATAGTGGCCAAGAAAAGGATAACTACGAAAGCATTGCGGGGTTTTTTACGGAATTATGCACCTCTTTTATTTTCATGTCATTTTCTTGATCTACTCTGCGATTTGTACATTTAGTTTGTTCTTTTCATGGCCCGGAAGATTTTCTGTAAGTTTTTTTAAGCACCAGGACGATGCGGGGCAGCCAAGGACGATTCGCCGGTTGCCAGTGTACATACGCTCTAACATAAAGTTAATTTCCTTTTCGATATAGCTGCGTGTCTTATTAGTGTGTCCACGACAGAGTCCTCTTTGTAGAATTCATTTTCGACTGTCAAGAGTATATCGCAAAGCAATACTTGAACGTTATTGAGATAAAACTCGCAGAAAGGAGAGCGTAAAATATGATACGGCTAGATACCAGTTTCCATTGTCACGCGTTACTTCTCATTTACAGTAGCGATTTGTATACTTTCTCGAGAATGAATATTTGAGGCTAGAGTCTCCATCGACGAACGATACTTAACGAGAGATTTCATTGAACGTGGACACGCTTGCGATAGGAGGAAACAACGCTGAGGCAATCTTAAAACTATGGACTTTTTGATCATGCATAAAAAAAGAACAGAAAATCCCTCTTAACTGTTATCGAATGCTGTACGCACATTCTGCGATGTGCATTACGTACCTCTGAATCTTAACCGACCGTTCTATCGGCATCGGTGCTACCTACCTTTTAAGCGGATAGAGGTGACACTACCGATGCTGATAAGAATCGTCGGACGTTCTTGAGCGGCAAAAGAGAAACCATCCGAGAAAGAACGTTTTAACGGGGGTGTAAACTCGGTGCATTGCAAACGTACTACATTCGATCAGGCTTATATTTCTTTTTTCACGTTGGCATTTATATCACGAATATAGCCCACAATTTAAAGGTGCTTAAGTTGAAACGAATATTAATAGAGAGAGGGAATACCTAAAATCTCTGGGCATGATCAAACACTCTAAGTGTTGTCTAAGCGTGTTGTGCTTTCTTTGTTGGAATCTCAGATAATGCTGGACAGCAGCAGCAGGAAGCTGCTCAACTGCAAACAACGCCCGCGGCCCCCACCGTGACGAAACCAGATCCACCAGATGTACTTCCCAAGGCTAAGTGTTTGGAGGCTTTAGCTGCACTCAGGCATGCCAAGTGGTTTCAGGTTTGAATCCATCAACTCTCAGTTCAAGAAAACTCGAATTGTCGGTGCCACATTCTTGTTTGGCGCTATGTAACGAAGCATTTTCTTTTATTTTCTCCTGACAAAACGCGAGACGCGTGCAAGTTGTCCTTTCTCTCTCTCTCTCTTAAAGCATTCTCTCGAGCCAAAACAAAGCAAACAAAAAAAAGAAAAAAAGAAAAAGAGAAGAAAGCAGTCTTAGAAACTTCCAGCCTTGTGACGGTTTTATTTTTTATCATTAACCGACCCGTCCGTCGACACGTTTCTGTCTGAATTGCTTATTTGATCACGTTCGATGTTCGCCGTTTCCATATATCCGCTGAATTTTTTGAACACACGCCAGTCGGCTTTGCCCACTGTATTCTCTTCGGAATATTTAGATTTTACGTTTACGTTTCGGACTGTCGAGTTTATTGCTATGATTTAGAATGGTCCGAAATACACGAGTTCCGAAATAATGGGTTAACAGTGGCATCGTCCGTACGTGGGAGAGAAAGTTAATCGCACATCGAACATGCGATCAGATATATTATCAGGCAAGAAATCTCGCAAGTAAGCAACATGTAAATGTTTATCTCGACAGTCACGTGCGAATGCTGCTAGATGCATTTACATCTGCTTCGCTTTGAATCTCCAACATCCAGAATAATAGGAACTGTTCTGCGAGACGTTCGCAATTCGAGTATAATTAATTTGTCTCCCTAGAATGAATGTGATTTTCTTTATTTTCTTTACTAACGCAGACCGCTCGATTGCTTCACGATCAAGCATAAATTCATTATTCTGGATCGTCCTTAATGCGTTGTAGCCTAGGCTGCGTCTGTTCTAGGTCTGTCTTAACTTGAAAGCAAATCGAACATGTAGCGTCAGTACTCAGCTTTTGTGAGATTTATGTATTTCGTTCCATTTTTGTATTTATAACAATTTATGTGCGTTAACTGCACAGCTTTGGAGATTAAAGAGACAGACAAGCACAAACACACAGTAGCGAGTCATAAGTGTACCGGGTGTTTCTGTAGATTAGAGTCGAGTCGAGTCCTAGAGTTGCTCTCTGATATATACATATATACATATATGCACACTTTCCTCTTGATATATGAGCTCTAGCTTTTTTTTTAATTATTGCGATAGGTACTAACGTCTTAGGAAAAAGTGATCGATAAACACCCGGTAATATTGATATGGGCTAATACTATTAGGGGCATTAGGCACGAGGCTGGGAGGATAGCTAAAGCCCACACAAAGCAATCGAAGGGTAGTTTAGGCCGTCTCCAGAAGAGCCAGTGCATCTAGTGCGTATATTAAATCGTAGTTTTTTTAATGTTAATCCTGTTCAACAGGCTAGAGCTACCTCGCTGCAGAGCTGCGTTATGGTTATCCGTATAATGCGCGACCTGTGCAATCGTGTGCCAACATGGGGTCCGTTGAATTCTTGGGTTAGTATACAACGTGTTATCTCTCCTTATGTCATCTCGATTTCTCGACCCTCAATAACACGCTTTTTGATGCATATAGGCATTGGAATTATTGACTGAGAAGGTGATTAGCACCGCAGGAGGTCTTCTTAGTCCCGGTGAAGCTTTGAGAAGACTTCTGGAATGTGTAGCTGGAGGAATATTGCTACCGGGTAGTCCAGGTAACTTTTTAAAATCTATTTTGTCGTTTTGATATTTTAACTAATTTTCTACCTTGAAATGATGAAAAAGATGACGAGACTGAGCGTATTGTGGAGGTGATTTTTGATTTCGAGTACAAGTATTTTGTTCTCGTGTATCATAATCATACATTCCGCGATACGCGCAGATGATATGGCAAACTGATCTAAATTATAGCTATATTATTGATCTAAAAATAATGTGCGAGAATCAAGTGTTGATTCATAAATGTGTTTTCGCTTCAGGCTTATCCGATCCATGCGAGAAAGAGCCAGTTGACGCGATAGGAAACATGACGTCTCAACAGAGAGAAGATATTACCGCGTCCGCGCAGCACGCGTTGCGATTAGTGGCGTTCCGCCAGATTCATAAAGTCCTAGGTATGGAGCAACTGCCGCCGCCGAAATTCAAGGGACGATTCGCCCGAAAGCGAAGACGTGACAACAGCAACGGAGAGGGCACGGACAGCGAGGCTTCGAAGAAGGACAAAAAGGCGGAGGAGATCAAAATGGAGACAGACTCCAAGTAGAAGATCTACCAAAAGATTCGTACCGCGATATACGAATTTATCTATTAACTTATCTAGGCATAAGGAAGCAGTTTTTTCCCCGCCGTGTCAGTTGCTTGTTTAGGAGGAGAGACATCTTCGGATAAGGACAACGCTAGGCTGATGCTTGTCATGACTTTTAGGAATACGCGTAATCTGGGAAAGAAAAAGTTATATGCAGATTACTTGAGACACGTTTGTCGAGTAACGGGCGCTATTTGTCTCTATGTCTCTATAGCGAATTATTTACTTCATGGCAATGATAATCGTTTTTTTTTTTCCCTCACGATGTATTCAACATCATGTAATAAGCGTGTCACAAAAAGAAGATAGTGCTATATTAGACAATGCTTCGATTGACTTGGCTAATTTTCTCAGACGATTGTGATGCGCGATTAGTTCTGATATTAGATTTGTATCGATGAAACTGGCGGACGTGTTTACTGAATCTGGATGGTTCGCCAGATTCACATCTCGGTTACGGCGGATATACGAGCAGGAAGAATCTGAGCGAACAAGTGGTAAAATACGACGAACATTTATAAGTTTGAAGTTTAAGGGTAGGCAATAGATCGTATTGAGATTTCGTGTGTATGTTGTGTGTGTAGTAAGTACGTGTAGAAAATACTATATCCCTATTCTCTCTTTCTCACTTCTGCACAAAGTGACAACCATTTACGATGCATTACGATGTATGCTATTGTCACGTACGTGACTCACGCAGAAAATAGCGACGAAGATATTTATAACTCGACAATTTGGACGCTTTGATGATGATACCTGACGCGGAGCAAGTGCACGTGTTAACGTTCTTTTTTTTTTTTTTTTTTCTAAAACTAAATCAGTTGGTTTTATTTGCAGAATTTTAAGCGACCCCAGTCGAGTTGAGACTTGAATCTTTCAACTTGTCAGACAACTGTCCCTCCATTTAAGTGAATTTCTTCTGACTTGTGTAGATTTTCTGTTCTATATTTTTGATCATTGAATAAAACGAACATGTGTACGGCGCAACTGTGAGCTTACCGATACTTCTGCCTGCAAGAATTAACATACCAGTTTCCTTGGTATTCCTTTCCTTTCCAACTTCGATGTTTTGTTTACGAAAAATTCAAGCAATGAGTAATCTAAGTTTAAGAATAAAGGTCAACATATCCGCGATTTATCAAATATTTTTCGAACTTGAAGTATCTTTAAGTATATACGCTTTTATGTTCTCCGCTGATCGTCATACGATAATTTCATTAGAAAAGAAAGAGATGCTTGAGACGCATTTTTTTTATCTATGAAACAATGATAGGCACGTTCTCCGAAGAGAATGATATACATATGATCGATTAACGCGTTATCTATCTTATTTCCGTGCGCGATAGTGTTGCGTCAGTTTGCGAGTCATTGGAACTGCGACGTTGCGCTTGTGACTCGGCAGTTCTGCGAATTTAATTTTGCGACGTCTGTTTGCGACCTCATGACCAACACGTCCGATGTTATAAAGTGAAAACCGAAAATACCCTCCCCTCCCCCGATGAAGCAGCCAAAACAGCACGAACATTCAACGAACATCCCGGAATTCATCGAAACTTCCTGAGCGTTATCGTCAAAGGAATAACTTATCATATTCAATTGCAAATGACTTCTCAATCAAGGACTTATTTTTACATAATCAGCTTATACAATATTTAAAGAATTGCATCATTTCGCGTGATTTATATAATGGCCTCATTTACGGTGTTGAGAGGTACATCGTTGAGGATGAATCTGAGAATAGTTTTGGAAAGCTGAGCTCAAGCAGGAAATTATAACGGTTTCGATAAATGGGAGCACATGCGTGTACAGGATGTCGCAAAATTAGTCGCCTCATCTCCTTCGTGAATCTATCTTGAAAATTGATTGGAGTAAGAACACAAATTATAAACAGCTACTAATTAAAATTGTCTAAATTATCAGAAATATTGTATCTGACAAGCGGTCGCAAATTCTTGCGCTCAGCATTTTCTTACACGTGCTATATTAATTCACGTAGCAATTCGTTCGCGCTCATCTCATACGAGCATCTGGATCCTCGAAGTATTAAATCGAATCAATCTTAGAATTATGCGCGCAACCAAAACCTTTCTGAAATATCAGTAAAATTTGCACATCAATAATTAAATTATTTTTATTTAATAATCGAATTATATTTCTGATGTACTTCATATGTACATTCATTTTAAATATTCGAATTTTTTCATATTTAGAAATATTTAGAAAATATATTCGCCACTCGAAATGAGTAATAAGGCGATTAATTTTATCACGCTCTGTATGCATGCATATATAGCACGAGCATCACGGCAGAACGTTCTGGAGCGTTCTTTGTTACCAAGTCGATACGAGATCCGCAAAATGCACGTCACGCCGACCGGTGACGTGCGCGACCGACGGGCCAATCGGCGGCGTCTTCAACGGAGCTCGGCCAATCGGGCGCGCGGATTGAGTCATACGTCACGCGCGTCACACGCTTGGTATAAAAGCGAGGTGCGCATCGCTCGCCGCTCCATTAGTTTCCGTGAGCTAGAGTGAAGAAATTCGTGTTTCCAAGACTGTTCTTCTCAAGTCGTCCTACGTGAAATACAGACGAGAAAGACAAGCGAGAAGCTTTCAAACAAAAGGTACGCTTTTTTTTTATACTCGCCGATACAAATTCTTAGCTCTCGAATATTCGCTCATAACCAAAAATTCAGTATTCTTTATTCGCGCGAACGGAGTAGAGATAATAATATTAATAATCATCGTGGAATATTCTCGACGAGCCGTCGATACGCCGCGTTTAACAAGAGTCACGCTTTCGCCACGAATGAGTCATTTCCAGGTGTGCGCAATATCGATCGTTGTTTCAGGCCTGTTGCTAGGCGGAGTGGATTGTGGGATCACTTCAATTAGCATATTTTATTGAACGGTATATTTCGGAGATTCGGTCGAATAGTCGAGTAGTATCTACATCGGCGTCAGAAGAAATGTAGAAAACGCGTGAAAAACCTTCAGATCATTCCAATATTATCTGTTTATTACGCGTTTTTGCCAAACTGTAAAATGGTACGAAACATGGCGTCGAGTGCTCGTTAATCCCTGGCAATCCAGACGAACGATAAAATGGCGGCCGTTGATTTCACTGCGTCATGTAAGCAGTTTTGAGCTGCTAGCAGGCCATTTTCTCCGCTTTATATATTTTTTTTGTACGGTTTCTTATCCACGAAGGTGAACACGGGTCATACCCTATTAGGCCTGTCTGGGTCTGTGATTTGACTTTGTCCGTGTCTATACTTCGTAAATAACTAGAATCGAACTGATTCAAAGATTTTATTTTCGTATATGATATTCAAGAGACAACCTTCTAACGCGAAAATTTTATTACAGAGCACCATGCAGATCTTCGTAAAGACGTTGACCGGAAAGACCATCACTCTCGAGGTCGAGGCTTCCGACACCATCGAGAACGTGAAGGCGAAGATTCA